GGTAATGTGGTTTTTGGATTCTCCCAAGGCTTTTGTTTTTGGTTTCATTCAAGCATGTGCGCTGAGGAGATCCATTTGATATTACCTCCTTCAGAACTGAACCTTCAACAGCCTCGTGCCCACTGCACAAAAACGATGGAATTTCAATAAAAACCCCAGGCATTTAACCCAGCATGTGAGATCATAATACTTTTTAATTCGTACGCACCATTTAGTTAAAACACAAGTTAAATACAGTTAATATTGTTTGAATAGTAAGTAAGTAATGAGTATTTATATTGCACATTTTACAAACTAAGGTCACCCAAAGCGCTTTACAATGTTGAGAAACCAGATATTTTATTTAATACATGTTAAGATACAGTAAAAAGCAGCATAAACAGAGGATTGTGTGGTTATGGTGTGAGTGCGTCGGCTTAGTTCTAAACAGAGGAGTTTTTAGGTGGATTTGAAATGTGTGAATGAATCGCTGTTAAGGAGGTCAGCGAGAAGAGTTTTCCAGAGCTGGGTGGGCAGGAGGTAACCTTGCCTGCAAGCTGAATTCTCGTGGTATTTGTGAGTTCACAAACACTCGAGAATACATCTTGTCCCGCTCCCTCCAACCCTTTTCGAGTAGAACATCTAGGTGTTCAAGCCAATCATGCGCCAGTCTGGGGGTTTAGGGCGGGATAGTGCCGGGCCGAAGCAAAACAAACATGGCTACGCAGGAGGACGGACGCGTAGCTGAGGCTATCAAGTCAGTTTTAGCAGAATCTCCAATTTCTTTTTTGAAAGATGAACAGCGAGAGGCGCTTTGTGCATTTCTGGACGGCAAAGATGTTTGTGCATTTTTACCTACGGGTTTTGGTAGGCGGGCACACAGCGTCACTTCGCCCAATCAGCTTGAAGTATTCTGCTGCTTATCCCTCCTTTCCCCGAAAGGATTCTCCTGCAGAAGTCCCAGATTGATATTGTGGAGAACGCATTAGAGTTCTACACAATCATCAATCTGGCTCTTGCCAGGTTAGGCAGGAGGGACCAGGAGGAGGAGGCAGGAAGGCAAGGCAAGGCAAGACAAGTTTATTCGTATAGCACAATTCATACACAAGGCAACTCAAAGTGCTGAACAAGATAGCATTAAAATCATAAATAATCACAGAACATTAAAACGAAAGATAAAAATATAAAATCCCTCAGTTGTATGCACAGCTAAACAGCACCGTTTTTAACTTGGTTTTAAACATTGTCAGAGAGGAGGCCTGTCTCACATCTTCAGGAAGATTGTTCCAGATTTTAGCAGCATGACTCTGAAAAGCAGCCTCCCCATGTTTAGTTCTGACTCTGGGCACTAACAGGAGTCCAGTCCCTGTGCTCCTCAGAGTCCCAGCAGGAGTCCAGTCCCTGTGCTCCTCAGAGTCCCAGCAGGAGTCCAGTCCCTGTGCTCCTCAGAGTCCGGGCTGGTTCATATGGGACTAACATGTCACTAATATATTTTGGTGCGAGGCCATGGAGAGACTTGTAACAAGCAGAGCTGTTTTAAAGTCTATTCTCTGAGCCACAGGAAGCCAGTCCAGAGACCTGAGGACTGGACTAATGTGGTCGTACTTCCTGGTTCTTGTCAGGACTAATGTGGTCGTACTTCCTGGTTCTAGTCAGGACTAATGTGGTCGTACTTCCTGGTTCTAGTCAGGACTCGGGCTGCTGCATTTTGAATGTACTGCAGCTGTTTTACAGCCTGTTTGGACAGACCTGTGAGCAGGCCATTGCAGTAGTCTAACCTACTGGAGACAAATGCATGGATAAGAATCTCCAGGTCTGCTTTAGACACTATGTTTTTGATCCTGGCAATGTTTTTTAGATGGTAAAAAGCTGCTGATGTTACTGATTTGATGTGGCTATTAAAATTTAAGTCTGAGTCCAGTATTACCCATAGATTTCTGACCTTATTTGAAGGTTTTAGGGAGAGAGACTGTAGATGACAGATGACGCTCTCTCTTTGTTTCTGGGGACCAAAGACAATCATTTCAGTTTTGTCTGCGTTTAGCTGAAGGAAGTTGTTTTGCATCCACTCACTGATCTGTTGGATACAGTGAAGGAGTGAGTCCACTGGTCCATGTTCTCCTGCAGTCAGTGAGACATAGATCTGAGTGTTGTCTGCATAGTTATGATAGGAAACTTCGTTTCTGCGTATTAACTGACCTAACGGCAGCATGTAGAGATTGAACAGAAGAGGTCCCAGGATCGACCCCTGTGGGACTCCACAGGTCAGGGCCATATGATCTGAGACACAGTTTCCAATCTCCACAAAGTACTTCCTGTCTTCAAGGTAAGACCTAAACCAACTTAGGGCGGTGCCAGCGACGCCAACCCAGTCCTCTAGTCTCTGTAAGAGGATCTCATGGTCGACGGTGTCAAAGGCAGCACTTAGATCTAACAAGATTAAGATTGAGACTTTGCCTGCGTCAGTGTTCAGCCGGATATCGTTTGTAACCTTAACGAGAGCAGTCTCAGTGCTGTGGTGGGGTCTAAAGCCGGACTGAAACATATCAAATGAGTTGTTGATTATAAGAAATCTAGTAAGCTGTAGGTAGACAACTTTTTCAAGGACTTTCCCCATAAATGGCAGATTTGAGATGGGACGATAGTTGTTAAGTACCGTAGCATCCAGACTGCTCTTTTTTAGCAGGGGCCTGATGACTGCAGTTTTCAGGGCCTTTGGGAATATTCCAGAATGAAGGGACATGTTTACTATCTGTGTGAGTGAAGGTAACAGACTGCTCAGAACAGACTTTAGAAATCTAGTGGGTAGTACATCCAGGCTGCATGTGTAGGAGCTCAAACTGGAGATTATCTCTTGGACAGTTTGATCATTTACAGGTGCAAAGTAAAGAGCCTTTCTGGCTGTTGGATGGTTATCTGTGGATTGGAGACAATGGCGTTTTTGATGCCTTGAACCTTGTCATTGAAAAAATGTGCAAACTCATTACATTTACGTTTGGAAGTTAGCTCTAATGGCATTTGAACAGGGGGGTTTGTTAATCTATGAACTGTTGAGAACAGAACACGCAGATTGTTGCTGCAGCCTTCAATCATTTCAGAAAAATACCTTTCTCTCGTACTACGTAGCACCTGGTTAAACTCGCACAACTTATCTTTGAAGATCTTGTAATCAACCTGGAGGTTGGACTTGCGCCACTTCCGCTCGGCCCTCCGGCACTCTCTCTTTTGTGCCCTGACCGAGTCTGCTTTAGCCCACGGCGCCTTCTGCTTATTTTTCACAATTTTAACCTTCACAGGAGCGATGGTGTCCAGAACTTTCAAAACACTAGAGATGACAGAGTTAAACAGTTCATCTACAGTAGAATACGATGCATTCTCAAAGTTTATCATTCCCATAAATAGTTCACCCGTATTTTCATTTATGTGTCTTCTTCGTACAGTTGCAGAGTCCACTGGTGGTTTGTTAGTGAAACACATGTCAAAAAATATACAAAAATTATCCGAAAGCGCAACCTCGACCACGTTTACATTAGAAATGTTCACCCCCTTTGTAACTAACAGGTCTAGAGTGTGCTCTCTGCTGTGGGTGAGGCCACTCACATGCTGAGTGAGACCAAAAGATTCAAGTACAGAACTCAGCTCATTTGCATTTCTGTCATCAACATTATCCACATGAATATTAAAATCACCTGTAATAACTAAGCTATCAAAATCTATGCATACAACTGAAAGCAACTCTGTAAAATTATCAATAAAACTGTGACATGACTGCGGTGGCTTGTATAGGACAACGAAAAGTATTGGAGGAGATTGTTTTTGTTGTATTTTAAAAGACACACATTCAAAAGACGGAAACTTCCCAAGAGACGTTCTATGGGAGACAAAGTGGTCTCTAAAAATGGCAGCTAAGCCTCCTCCTTTTTTGTTTTCCCGTATTTCAGATTCAAATGTGAAATTTGGTGGTGATGCTTCTATTAAAACTGCATTTTCTGTATTTTGGTCAAGCCATGTTTCAGCCATGAACATAAGATCAAGATTATGAGAACAAATAAAATGATTGATTAAAAAAGACTTGTTACAAAGAGATCTGACATTAAGCGTAGCAAGTTTCAAAGTTTCAGTATCAGCGGTTGTGGTCGGCTGATTCTTACACGGAACAAGAATTAGATTTTCCAGATTAGATTGATTAACTTCAGATATTTTTCTGTTATGTATTCTTTGTGTTATCACTAAGGGAATGGCACAGGTGGCTTCATGACAGGGCCCCAGCCGGGTCTCTCCTCTAACTAGACTGCCAGTGGCTGCGAAGCAGAGACCCTGTGCATCCTAGTGTTTAGAGAAAAGAGGGGAAGGGGAAGGCAGGGGAGGAGGATGGAGAGGTGGGTGGCTTTTGGGTGTTGAACGAGGGGGGCAGGGAGGTGGAGGGGTTTTTGGTGATGGGTTAGGGGAGGGGCAGGCTGAGTTGGGTGGTGGACGAGGGGGGAGTGGAGGTGGAGGGTTTCTTGGTGCTGAGTTAGGGGGGAGGTGGGCTAAATGAGCAGGAGGGGGGGGTGGAATACTTATGGGGTTAGAGGAGGGACGGGTGGATTTTGTGGGAGAATTTGAGTTGGACGCCCTAGGTGGCTTTGGAGGTACGTATGGGGAGTAGTTTTGAATGTTAGATAGGACTCTTGATCTGGCTACAGTGGGTGTGAGAGCAATAGTCTTCATCGCCGATCTTATCATGCCTGCCGAGTGTTCCGGTAATTCCAGTAGTGAAGGCGGGGATAGAAAACAAAGGGAAAGGTCGTCCTCATTTTCCCTAGATGGAGTGGATGTAGCGGGGGGGACCCAAGCCGGGTCCATGGAAGGTGATGAGGGAGTCTTTGGTGGAGACAGAGGTGGTTGAGGAACCCCCAGTACAGGCCTGACTGTAGCCTGGAGCAATGGGGGAAGCTTCACGGGAGCTGTAGGTGGGGAAGGTGCTGCTGAAGATGATGGAGCAGCCACTGCTGCTGCTGTATCCACTGCTGCTGCTGAAGATGATGGAGCAGCCACTGCTGCTGCTGAAGATGATGGAGCAGCCACTGCTGCTGCTGTATCCACTGCTGCTGGTGGTGCTGTATTTGCTGATGGCGCTGATGAAGATGTGGCAGCTGCTGATGATGCTGGTGGTTGAGGCGTTGAGCTCTTTCGGAGCCGTGGAGGTGTTGAGTTCTTTTGGAACCTTGGAGGTGTTGAGTTCTTCTTGAATCGTGGAGGTGTGGAGTTCTTTTGAGGCGGTGGGGGTGCAGAGACCTCAGGAGTCGGTGGAGATGGTCGTGATGTCTGTGCCCTTTGATTCTTCTTTCTCCCTTTTGACGGCTGCACGCGCTGCGCAGGCTGAGGTCTTAGGACAGATGCAAAGTTATCCATCAACACTTTTACTCCGTAGTTGTTCAGATGTGGACCTTTTTCTTCAAAAAGCTCGTGTCTATTCCAGAACAGATTAAAGTTTTCAATGAAGCCAAGTCCTCTGCGTGAACACTCATTGAGTAGGAATGTATTTAGCTGATACAGACGGCTAAACTTCTCCATTTTTCCATCTATATTTGGAAGTGGTCCACTTAGAAAAATGTTTATGTCCATTTTCTTGAGGTCATCCAGTAACAGCGTTAAATCCATTCGTAACTTCTCGCTTGCCTTCTCATAGATATCTACCGCCCCCGTGTGGATCAATAATGTACGCACACCACTGTTCTCAGATAACACTTTAGGCAGAAGAGTCCTTATCTCAGCAACTTTTGCAGAGTGAACTGAGACAGTGAGCATGGACTCCATGTTTACATTTTTCAACGAACCATCTCCGATAAGGACACAGTTTGTCCTTGGTGGAGGCGCTGCAGTTGTTAGCGGCTTTGTTGTTTCAGAAAGGGGTAAAAAGCGGTTTGAAGTCTTCAGAACATTTAGTTGTGGCCTTATTTCACTCCTATTGTCATTCTTAGCTTTGTCAACTTTGGGTTTAGCTCCACAATTGTTCCAATAATTCTCATTGTTGATTTTGGGAAAAGAAATGACGTCATAACTTACATTTCCAGTCTGTCCATTCATCCCATTTTCACTCATTGGAAGAGTCGGGTTTAGTCCCATTTCTGTTTCCACAATAGATATCCGTGTTTGAAGAGATTTGAGCTGATTTTCCAGAGCACAACAGCCACCGCAGACGCTTCTCCGTCTCTTTCGTCCCGACATGACTAAAGTTGATAAATTCCACAAAGCTGAAGTGTGTAGAAGGACTAATCCTCGTTTTGTAAATAAAATGATTCAAGGAGAAACAAAAAATGTAAATAAAATGATTCAAGGAGATTAAAAGGCGAAGCAAAAGCAGAGCAGAGAGACACGACTGCTCTCTCGAGAAGCAGGAAGCAGGAGACACCAGGAGGAGGAGGCAGGAGGGACCAGGAGGAGGAGGCAGGAGGGACCAGGAGGAGGGGGCAAGAGGGACCAGGAGGAGGAGGCAGGAAGGACCAGGAGGAGGAGGCAGGAGGGACCAGGAGGAGGAGGCAGGAGGGACCAGGAGGAGGGGGCAAGAGGGACCAGGAGGAGGGGGCAAGAGGGACCAGGAGGAGGAGGCAGGAAGGACCAGGAGGAGGAGGAGGCAGGAGGGACCAGGAGAAGGAGCAGAGAGAGCGGGCAGGTGTGGGGAAGATCTGAAGGTTGTGGATTGTCCTGGTAAATGGTCTATGGTACAAGCCCAGATCAGATTTACCAGCCCAAACCCAACAACTACAACTGAAACCAGAACCCAAAAGAATCAGTGTTGACAAAATACAAATTATTGTTTCAGTGCAGTCTCGTCTAATCGATTGGAAGTACTTGATTTTTAAAGTGGCCTGAACATTTTTCCATTTGAACAAACACAAACAAAAATACAGTGAGATTATCGGGAAAGAAACTATAGCCAGAAGATTACCTGCGATTTCTGAGTCAATCGCTGTTTTACTCACACTATTGACCGTTTAAAATCCTTTTTTGGACTCAGAAAATGCAACAAACAAATAGAAGCCGTTGGTCCACAGGGAGCGGGGTGATACTGTTAACAAGAGGGTGTTTAGACAGAGATGCTGCGACAGAGTTGGGTTTCAGATTGGCCTTTCATTTACACGAAGACGGGTGAAAACGCTAGTGTCGAGAAACGGCCTCCAGGGTGGAACAGAACCGATACGCTGCTGTTTCAAAGCAGTGTAAGGTCAGAGAATTCAACACAAGAAATAGAGCAGAAAACACATTAGTATTGGTCCATAAGAGGCAGAGACCAAAGTCCATAAATGTTGTTGAATGTTGAGTGTCCTCGATCTTCACCACTGTCATTTTAGTCAGACCCTCACAAGACTCTAACAGACCCTCCTGCATCAGAAAGAAAACCCTGAGAGACCTTGGGGAGAACCACTTTGAGAGAGGGATCCGCTCCACACGGACAGAGGGGCTGTAGATCCAGGACTCAGACTGCAGAACGAGGACCAAGGCCACAAGGCGCAAACAGTTCCCAAGCAGGGAGGGGATGGAGCCCACGAGTCGAGCCTGGAAGGGATGTCCATAGGTGCAGATGGAGTAGGCCGGGTTCAGGGGTCCCATCAATATGCTTTGAAACAGACAATGGGACAGCGGGTGAATAGCAATGAACAGACGTCAGTCAAAGCCATAATGGTGGCAGATAAAGTAGGAAGGAGAAGAGGATAGTGCTCAGGTTACCATACGTGTCCCATCAAACTGACTCCATTGGACTACCTGTCTGTCTATAATAATAACTAGATATAGTATTACTAGCTTACAGCTGTCCCACCCATGGCCACAGGGGGCGCTGTGGTACTGTAGACTAAATTCACTTGGGCTACACAGAAAAATGTCCCATAGATCTCATTGTAAACTAAAACAGCTCAACCTCAGCTGACGGAGAACCTGACAGAGAACCTACAGCTTTGATAAAGATCAGATTTTGTGGGGATGTTAGTGTCCCTTGTCGTCCTGAACTTTTTTTCTTCTTAAATCCTTCTGTTTTCTTTAAATCCACACTTTATTGCCACAAACTCTGCTCCTTTCCTTCCCGCTCTGACTCCGCTCTGCTGCTGCTCTGATCAGCTCTGATTGGTCAGAGCGCGGCCGAGCCCCTCTATGCACGTGCATGAGAGCACAAGCCATTCATTTGAATAGGACGCCATCTTGGATCACCGGGGCTTGGTAGGAAGTGAAAAACTGCAATCATCTCTTTTGTCTTTCTTTTTTTTCTGCAGTTTTTTTCATTACCTATGCGTATCATGAAAGTCCTAATATAGTTCAGCAATTCTACACGGCCCTTGTTATAATCAAAAGCAACGTTTTGGATTCCCCACTCCTTTGAAAAGTCTGTGGTAGAGTTGGCTCGTCTTCGTTCTGCTCTGTGTGTGTCTAACGATGAAGCAAAGCCATCACAGTTCTGCAAAGGGCAGAGGAGTGGCGCATTCCCGGCACGTGCAGCTCCCCCGGGAGACGGGCTTCAAAATGTGCTCTTAAAGCCGGGCCTCAAACGGCAAAACAATGCAACGCTACAGAGTTATTTCCTTTGTCGAGGCTGCTCTGCGCCAGTCTCAATCTGTCTCAGCGGGGAATAAAACTGAGAATCAACCACGAAGGGTTAATGGAGATTCTAAACTGCATATTCTGGGGAAACTATTAATGGAGTTTTAGTGTAGAAGCCAAAAGAGAAATGTTTAGTGGTACAGCGCCATGGATACGTTTGTCTCCTTCTAAATGATGTTTTGCGGAATCTTACTGTTGTCCATCCATCCATTTTCTTCCCCTTAATCCATTTCTGGGTCGGGGAAGGGGTGGCCGTCCGAGCACCAGCCCCTCTTTGATCCTCCTGCAGGTGCTGAGACCACAGGACGGCTGCTCTGTCGGGGACTAAGCCTTGATCTTTCAGCGGGGGCTTCAGGCAAAGTGGGGTTAAGTGTCTTGCCCAAGGACACAATGACCGCAGCCATCATTGGGAGTCGTGAAGTAGGTCTTGCGGTGGGCTCGAACCCACAATCTTCAGGTATTGCAACTGTTGTGTACATATCAAATAAAATAAAATAAAGTCAAACAAATAATGATAATAATAAGGTGTGAGACAAGTCTTTGACCTCTCTGGTATTTTTCCTCTGAGCAGATGAACCGCAGAAGATTTTAGCCTTTTGACTCCGCTCTCTAAAATAACGTACTGTGACTGGAGTGATTTTAAAACTTTCTTTGGAAAAGCTTCGTCCATGACATCATAGAATAATGAGTCTTATCAAAGCTGACACTCATTAACTCACACTTCATATTCTCACTGGACATTGTTTGGCCCCAGGACACAGCACTTTGCACTTCACAGCCACTGTGGCATTTGGTAACACAGCGGCAGTCTCCCGTCCAATTACTGACCAGGCTACAACTTGCTTAGCCTTTATGATCTGAGAAATACATGCAAGGGGAGCATGTCGAAGAAAATAGTTGAGATTAGTAGTGAACGTTTGAGCCAAAGTGGACAAATGTGCTTATTCATTCACACACACACACACACACACACACACACACACACACACACACACACACACACACACGCACACGCACACGCACATGCACACACACACACACACGCACGCACACGCACACATGCACACACACACACGCACATGCACACACACACACACGCACGCACACGCACATGCACACACACACATCAAAAAAACACACACGCACACGCACATGCACACACACACGCACACACACAGACACACACACACAGACACACACACACACACACACACACACACACACATAGACACACACACACACAGACACACACACACACACACACACACACACACACACACACACACACACACACACACACACACACACACACACACACACTCTCTCTCTTTCCTCCGGGTCCTACATTTCGTTGGTAGAGCATTTGAGTCTGAAGGTTGTGGTCCGACTCCCACTGATGTCTGCTGTTGTTGTACTCTTGGGCCAGACACATATCCCCACTTTGCCTGAAGCCCCCCCAGAAAAATCAAGGCAGAATCATCGACAGAGCAGCTTCCTGTGGACTCAGCACCTACAGATGGAATTGTTGTCATGTTTGACCAAAGGTATATATCTACATATGTTACACAGTAAACATGTTCATGGGGTTTTTAAACAGGGGTTCATTAGTGACTTGAATGTCGCTGAAAGAAGTTTAACAGATAATTATTTGAAGATTGTTTGAATATTTGAAATTATTTGATTTGTTTAAGATCAAGGGGAAGATAAAGTGCATTCTTTATACATAAATACAACACATAAAAGACTGAAAGAGCCTGTATGGTTAAGGAAACAGTAACATTAGAAAGGAAATGCAGATGCAGCACTTTGTTTTGTTGTTGAATGAAACGTCTCTTTATAAAGTGCTTTCATTAATATTGCACACGTCCTGAACACTGTGCTGCGATCGGAGGATATTTGGTTTCATATAGAACTGTCTTCATATCTAACCACAGAAATGTCTTTGAGCTTCCAGAGAGGATCAACATTTCTTTATTGCAGGTTCATGGCGTGAAAGCCATTTTTCCGTCTGAATAATTTTGTATGTTTTTTTCTTGGAAACAAAAAGAAGGGAAAAGGTGATTTGGACTGAGCTCAAGCAGTGACAAAAAGGGAGCGAGAATAATGCCCAGTGGCCATTGCAGCGCTCGAAGCCACAAAGTGTGTAGTCATTTTGGACAATTTCACAAAAGCCTCCGGGGTTTCTCTGGGCCTTTCAGAGATTGCTACCCTGCTACGATACTTTTCTTTTTTATCGGCTCCGAAAACATTCAACAACATTCAATAGATTTCAGTGAGGCTACTATGGAGGTGATGTCTGCGGCTCCAGTTGTATATGAAGCCGCAGATGTATATATGTAGATTTGTTTTCGATTTCCTCACAAAGTAGCAATATGTAAAACTTTTCATCATTAAAGGCTCTAATTTGTCAAAAGTCATTAATAAAACCTGCTCTTTCCAATCCTTCTTTAACTGATAACAGTCGTTCAGAGATATTTGAATTTCTAAATTACTTTTCCAGCCTCTAAATCTTGTTATTGTTTTCATTTCGATGTCCCGCCCTCCACCGTTTCACCAATCAGAAAGTCTGTGATCCGGGCGCCAGAACTCACCGCGTGGAGCTAATTTCACTGGTAAAGTACCATGTGGCGCAGAACTAAAAAAGGTCTCGTTATGATTCTCAAATCATTAACGACAAAACAAGGAATAAAACCAGGATTTCTATCTTTGTGAAAAAGGTGTTGGTTATAGATTTGTTGTTGACAAAACTCTTGTCTATTCAGCTGTTATGGTCCCAGCTGGATTCGTCTGCATATCTGGCAACCTGAGTCAGGGAGAGTGGGAGAGGACTACAGAGTATTGACGGTGATTGCAGTACCACATTTGTCCAGAAGACAAGTTTCCAAAGTGCTACACAGAGATAAATAATTTAAATATACAGGTTTGCCAGTTTTATATGTATCCAAAATAGAATAAGTAAAACAAGTGATGTATGAAGTAAAGAGGATAAAACATGAATAAAAACAATAAAATACCAGTTTTTTGGAGGAGTAGACAACTTTGTTCTTTGAGACGACTGTGATTAAGATTTTTTAGGACATATGGAAAGAATTAAAGTC